TAAAAGAAGTGAGACAAAGATGGAGTGTAAGCATTCTGATCCAACCTTTAAGGAACCAGTTCCCAAGCTCATCTATTGGCAAAGGGTTTAACCATGAGTACCAATCAGTTCTCAGCTGTGGATGCCTGTAGATCACAAACACTATCAATGAATCGAAATCAAGTCATAAAGAGACAACAGTTTGACTAAATTCTCTGTAAGCCTAACGAGGTGAATGAAAAAAGCAACTTACCTAATGAGGCCAGGAAAACTGACTGACTACGGTTTTCCCGTTCATTTAAAATTCGTAACAAAGACTTGAATAAACCTCGTGAAGAAAAAGAATGAAAACAGCAGAAATAACTCTTGTTGATAATATTCATTAAAATCTTTGGGCATTCATAGTTTGCATATGTTCTGTGTTTGTGTCTATTTGAAACCAATACCGTCAAAGATTAAGAAATTTCAGAGTTATAACACTAATGCTAGCTAAAAAATACAATATAATTCAACTGTGGCCTTGTCTATTTATACACCATCAATTTACTCTCCTTTTCTTCAATGATCTTGACGTTCATTAAATAGTCTCCCACACAGCCATTTTTATCAGGTCACGCAACACTTGAGACTAAGCCTTTAAGATAACGAAGGTCGAGATTCGGGCCCTTATTGTTTGAACTTTATCACATGTCAGACATGTATTCGCATCTACAACGCTAAGAGAAAAAATCACGATCACGCCATGACTGTTATCATACAAGATTTGAATCTTGGAGCTTAGCAAATGCATCAGATCGACAAAACGTCACTCTCACAGGGGAGGGTTGTTACTTTTGCCCTATCACAAACCGACACCGTCGGGGGAGCTGGTGCATTTAATTCAACCGGAAACAGCTCACGCATAGGATAACAGTCAGATTACACATCATGGCGAAGCAAAGCTGGCCAGAATCGATGCAAAATGCAGCGCTCCTTGGGCTCATGCAGTCAAATTTAGAAACTGGCGGTCATCGAATGGATATACACTCTTCGGTCTCACTGGTGGCAATTTTAGGGAGATCGGTCGCTTTGTTTGGAATTTATTGGCCTTCGCATGGCAAGGGTCGATTGGAAGGTCTTGGAAGGTCTCCAGCTTTCCCTTCTTTTATAGTGCTCAGTACTCAATGGAACGAAACTCAACTAAACGGCATTTAAACCGGCCGTAGGACACAGAGTGGCTATGAACAAAAGGTAAGGGAGATTTTTGAATCAATATTTCGAGATTTTTTTTCTTAGCGTTGTAGATGCGAATACATGTCTGACATGTGATAAAATTTGAACAATAAGGGCTCGAATCACAAGCAATAATGCAAGAAATCTCGACCTTCATTATCTTAAAGGCTACAAGTACTGATAGTCAAACAAGAAGATTTCGTATGTTTAAGATTTTTGCATTTATTTGGCACCAGATAATACACTAATAATTCCAGTATATTCCGACCAAATGACCTCTGAAGCCCGAACCCAAACATAGTGCGCTTGGGCTGCCTGTGGTGTGGTGACTATGTTTCTACAGTCGGTCGCCAAAAGACGACCTGAGGATTTTTTTTAATTTCGAGCCCTGGGCCGACCGTGTATATAAGCTTGAGTAGAAATAAAAAATTAAAAACTAGAAAGCACGCCCATTTTAGCTTAAAGTTATAATATAACAAAATACAGTAGTCAGCACCAACTCTATTAAAACTTACATCGTGTTTTCACGCCAGAACCTCTTCTTCAATTGCATCGCTCTCCGATTATTGAATTCTTGCTTGTTCTTCGAGAACTCTGGCTTTTTCTTCAATTTCAATCAACCGCATAAATGGTCAGGTATTCTTAATTGCTTTTCTCTCAACAAAGATGTGTTTTCCTTTCCAATAAAAAAATGAATCGGGAGTTAAATCGCCTCTCTCAACATTCATGGTCATTAGTGCTGGGTGCTTGGTAGACTGGTTTCCATTACATGCGCTGATTGGAGAATCTTGATCACAAGGTCTTGGCGCGCGGAAAATGAAAACGAAAAATGAAGCCGCGGTGAAGTCTGGGTAAATCGAAGACGCATGGGTGCTTGGTAGACTGGTTTCCATTACATGCGCTGATTGGAGAATCTTGATCACAAGGTCTTGGCGCGCGGAAAATGAAAACGAAAAATGAAGCCGCGGTGAAGTCTGGGTAAATCGAAGACGCAGAAAAGACTAGCTTTGAAGATGACCTTACACCGTAAAATTCCGAAAGTATAAGCCCCTCCAAATATAAGCCCACCAATCCGGTAACGCAAAAAACCCTCTGTTAAATCGCCCCTCCAAATATAAGCCCCCGGGGGCTTGTACTTGGAAAATTGCCCTCAAATATAAAGTAAAACAAAGCAAAAACGGTAACTTTACTTCCAACTATAAGGCTTGCCCAATCGATTTTGAAACGCAAATTTCCCTCCGAATATAAGCCCGTCCAAAAATAAGCCACTCAAAAAGGGCTTTTAAAAAATATAAGCCCCGGGGCTTATTTTCGGAATTTTACGGTATAACCCCCAATCGGGGTTATATGCTTCTGATGAAACACATCAAAGAAGACCTCGTAAGTCTTTTACTCGTGCACCCACCATCGAGCTCGACACGTTTGCCGAGCTCGATCAACGATCCACATCGGTACGAATGTTTCAAGGAACTTTGGGCGCTTTCATTTCAACCAAAAAGTCCGGTTTGAATTTTCGGCAACTTCCAGTACTAGCGAATTAATGGCACAGCATTTTCCAAAATTTTTAAAAGTAGGACAACCTCGCGGGGTGTACCCAAATATTCGGAAACTTTTTCCCGGAAGTTTTCTTTTCATTCAACTTTTTAGTTGCTCCCAGAATTTCTAAAATTTTCGGTTGATAAATGATTCGCATTTCGGAAATTCAACAGCTTCCAAAATTTCTGGAAACATTTCCGGGAAATTTCTCCACTATTTGCCCCTGTTTCCTGATTTTCGAATGTTTTGGTTGAATGGAAAGCGCCCTTTGAGTCCAGTGTCGCATGGGATTTGGCGCCAAAGACGAACACAGCACGTAAACAACACCTGATTTCTACTGTTTGGTACATTTCACTTTGTCTTGATTGGTTGAGCCGCTTTGGGTTCAATAGAACGTACCTCGGAAAATGTCATGAGTAATTCTTTTGTTCTTTTTTACGTATCCATGGAAATTTCCCCGAGGCCACCTTGAGGAAAGCAGTCACACAAAAACGTTGCTTCCCTGTAAGCAGCAGCCATTGCCATGTCAATTTTGTGCCAAATGCAAAAGGCAACCCTCTGTAGTTCATTTCACATTGCAAGAATGTTCAAACTGAGCGGTTAGATATCTATGGGAATTTTGGACACCTATTTTAACAGATACTTAATCTTGTACATTGCCATACCTTAGACGTCCTCATTATTTAATGGACAGCTATATGAACGATGATTTTTAACTTATGAACATTTTTATTTATGATTAAGATGTCCATAAAGCTTGTAAGATTTTTTTATTGTTTTTTTTTTTTTGACACTTTTATCAAATCATTTTTACCCTTTTTTTGGTGCGCAAATCATTGTGTAATTGTTACAACAAATTTTAGTCGATACTACGGCTGGTTACGGTTTGCCGGCCAGCCAAAGCTTTTATTTTTTACTCTAAGCATTTAGACGTTTATAACGGGATATAACAATAAAATATTTATAGTATAGCGTCAGTATCCTCCAGGTTCAAAAGCGTTTAACATCAAGAACAATAAAATAGTAACAATAATTTAAAAGATTAAGAAAAAGTTTCAAATCTTAAGACTAAAATGAAAATGGCTTAAAAGTTATAAAAAAGTTTTCAAAATGCTTTTTTAAAAAGGAAGGTTTAAAGTCTGTTTTTAAAAACGGACACTGAGGAGCTCATAAGTAGCAATTTTACTAGTGCACAAGAAGGAAAAAAGCCGTGTGAATATTTTGGGAGTTAAGTTCATTAGCAGTGACGTGACAGTAAAGTTCATTAGCAGTGACTCGACAACTTTTGTACAGGAGAGTTAGATTGTAATCACTGTCGTGTAAAAAGCAAGAGTTCACCCAAACAAAATTATAATAGAATCAAACCCTTTTTTCATGAACAAATCATTGCCGTGGTTTATTCCTTAGTTTCATATTTGATATTCAGTGAACGCATGAGCCATAAGGAAATTAGTATTGTTGATCGATTTAGGCGATGTAGCAAAGATGAGTTAAAGGAATGACCAGAATGATAATTATCAGTTCAGTTGTTACAAAACAAAGTAGTTCCTCGACCTTAGCATATTTTCGTGATTAAAGCGGATAAAAAAATAAGTTGATGTGGACCAATTTTGTAAGAAATACATTTTATTATAGTGATTAGCAGTTGTTTGATCTGCACGAGAAGAAAAAAGAAAGGGTGAATTAAAGGAGCAGGGTCAGTATAGTACATTGTGGCAATGACGTAAAAATAACTGAACCTCAGTGTAGGAACGTAAGATGTTTATGATCACTTTCGCGTAAACAGTAGCTCCAGTTGCCTGTGTACTGCCGCCTCCTCTATTCAAGGCTACGTAAACAGGAAGTGTTAACTGAAGCAGAAAGAAATCAAATCACCTCTTCACTGCCACGTAGCATTCCTGAGAATGATATTTGTTATTTTACGAGCATAATACTGAAAAAAGTTTCGAAAAGAGCCAAACACGATGTGGCGTAATGAACTGAAGTGATTAAGAATCGTGCTGATGCTTCAGTTCTGCGCAATTCCACTTACTACGGCTCAAGTATGAAGCCCTCGGGGGGTACCCAACAAAGGTCTATACGGGGAGGTTCCCCCTACCCCTTACCCTTCTATATACCGTTTTTGACAGAAATGGTACCCTTTCACATACCTAGTTTAGAACATTGCATTCCTTTTAACTGATGTAAATGGACTGTCTTATAAATATGAATAAATCACAAAACAAGAATTTTCTCTCTCTTTTTGTAATTCTTTAGGGTGGAGACTATAGGCT